AATTCCTCACCTGAACAAGAATTGCTTCATGCAGCTGCTATGTCATGGTTCACGTCGGAAGTGACGTCTGTGAACTTATGATAGATTATAAAACATTTTCTTATTATTATACTTTATTAGAAAATGTTGAAAAAATAAGCAAGAAAACGGTTTGCTAAAAATGGATAATTTAGATAGAAATTTTCAGCTATTAACAGTTATGTGAAGTACACAACTGAATGATTTGAAAAAAAGCCGTAACAATTTTTTATTTCATTATTATTATTTAGAATGTGTTACCAATATATGATTATAAAATCATGACAAACTGCAGTTATTAATAATATAGAGTCAAAATTTATACCAGTAACTCATTATACCAACCGAGTTTCTCTGACCAGTGTTTTACTTACTGATAACAGAAATAAAGGTGTATCTATAGCACTTTACACAAGTGTGCAATAAAAGAAGAAAAAATGTAGAGTTCAGAAAGGACGGAAAAAAAAAACCTCTGCAAAACCTCAAACAAACAAATAGGTGTGTCAATTGGTTGGGGTTTCACCTCCTTCTGAACATAATATACAACAACAAAGAAGGAAATGATAAAAACCTGCATATTACTTAACATACAAACCAGAGGACTTAATCCTTTAACTCACGGAAGTGATTCACATGTAACTTCTCCCTACAATATCCATTTACTATCCAGCAAACAGGTAATGAGAATATTCAGTTGTATCAGGTAGAAGTTTTTATCTTGATCTAACACCAAATTCTTACAACTAATTTACAAGGAAATGTTAAGCTAGATCAGACCAATGGCGCTGATTGCAGAAATAAAGCCGCACAATATTTCATATTTTGTCACATCCTTCTGCTCAGAGTTGTTACAAACTATTTTTTCTAATTTGAAGTTCTCAATTGCCATCCAAAAGTCATAGAATGCTTGCGACCAGTCTAACTAAGATAAAATACCATGCTCTCGGTAGAGCTACTTGCAAGATTACTGCAATGAAAACCTTTCATAATTATTTTCATTTTTGCACTTTAGTCAACCACACCGTTGATCAAAAATTTAGCAGGGGATTAGAATTAGAATTTCAAATTTTTGTCCAAGGAGCGTGGGTGGATGTAATTGTACTGCTGTCCACCATTAGATCATTTTTTTTTAGTTGTTCAAATCAGACTACTTGTACTAATACCATTAATTACTACTTCTACCACTACTATTTATAATACTTCTACAAGAATATCAATAATTTCTTAATTGTACTTCCACGATCAAGAAAAACCAATCGAAGGTAAAATTTTGAAAATTCTTCAAATACTTCGATCATAAAAAAGCAAAAAAAATTAGGCAAGCACTATCTTGAACTGAAAATATTAAGGTTTTCTATTGTCAATTCTACTGTGTTTGTGTTTCAACAAAACAAACCAAAACGAAACAGCCGCAGAAAATGTAAATTTCACTTCAACCACTTTTAAATTATTATGGCCGTCTCCGAAACTTTATTTTTTTTTCTGATCTAAATTAGACACTTGTATGCAGTTTCAGGACGAAACGCCAGCCAAAGAATACCAAAACGTAAGGAAAGGAAGAAACAGATGACGATTAGAATGTACGTAAGTTTTTTAGTGATTTTTTTTTTCAATATGGTTTCCTAGACGCCTCACGCCAAGCTGATGTTAATAGAGAGATAACTGAATTTCCCCGTGAGATAGATTAGGAGTAGACCATAATCTAAACGAGATGAATATGACGACTGACGCCTGACACCCTTGGGCATTCATTTTATTTTTATCAATTTTTTTTGTATTCTATTTTGGTCGTTTCGGTCGTTTCGTTTTGGTCGTTAGGTTCGTTTAGTTTGAATCTTTTTTGTTTTTGTGATTTCGGTGGTTTTGCATGTTTCACTTATTTCGTATTGTTTTGCTGTTTTGGGTTTTAGTTTAGTTTTAGTTTCGGGCCTTAGTTTTATGATATTATTTCTTCATCCTGGTTGCCTAGGAAAATAAGAGTAATTTTGACGAGAATATTTTTTGCAAGATACTTTCTAAATTGGAAAATCAGAACCTTATATGTAACACTGTGTGTAACACACTAAAAATTCATATTTTCATAAATTTTTAATTTGAAAAACGTGAACCTGTCATAACTCAATATAACTTACATATCACCAAAGGAAAATAGGACCACGTTATGTCATTCTAAAACTTCTTACATGTCCCGCTGAAAGTGTTTTGACCAAATAATTTGCAGCTTTATTTAAGAGTTAGACGTGCTATAAAAGTTTTTCAAAACATTCTACTGGATTTTCATCGAAGGATTTCATTGACTGTCATATCCAGTGGTACTAGGATGAGACCAGTCATTTAGATTTAAACACAAAAGCTTTAACCTGATGAGTAACACCAGCTAGAACAGCTGGACAGGAAGAAGGACTGTGGCGTAGAAAACAGAGGTTTTGTTTTGTAACCATAGTTACAGAGGTTCAAACAGGTCTATTAATTAAAGGAAAGCACGACACCATAAAGTTTTCACTATTGATATCCCGCAAGAACAAAACCAAGTAGCACTTTTCGCTCAAGGTAAGAAGCATATCTCTGTTAGCTAGTTATCCATATTTCTTGGACCAAGCCTTCCTTGCTCAGACCAATTGCGCTGATTTCAGACATGATCCAGAAACATTTTGTGTTAAATTCTGTCAATTCAGCCACACGATATTTCACATTCTGTCTCATCCTTCTTCTCTAACCACCATGTTCAACTACCATGAGCAAAACGAGACATAAAAACTTGCTAGGCCTCTGTACTTTACATACATTCTATCGCATTGTTCAATTTAAAGTTGCTACAAGGTTAATCTTCATACTAATAATGTGCAATGCTCGTCTATCATGGTGAAGAACATTTTGAGATTCACCTATAAAGGTTTTCGTTGTGTCTGTCGGGAGAGATTCAGTGGACAAACCTGCCAAGTTGAAGGTGAAATTACGTGGGGCAGTCTCTCGTAGTACGCGAGGAGTTACTCACTCAAGTCCCAAACTTGACTTCAAGAACAAAATATGAACCACTGAAGTGAAGCTAAAAAGGAAAAGCCTATTACTGTAACTTTACATGGATATAGCTGGTAGATATTAAAAAGAAATGAAATATATTAAAGTTCACACAGCAACCAGGTGGACAATCAGACATAGTTTGAAGCTACACTGGTTTGCAGATTTAATGAATGTAACCGAAGAAGTTACAATTCATGGACCCAACGTTTCGACACTCCTGTCTAGTGCCTTCATCAGGGGTGATCTAAACGTTGCAACAAGAGGTCCTTTTATATGATCACTAATTAGCGGCCTTTTTTCTGACGAGGTGTAAATAGGCGTCAGGAAGCAGACCGCCATCGTCACGATTTAAAGGAGCGTGCGGAGTTAATGTGCCAAGCCTCCAAACAAAGGCGCTGGTGGTAACACCGATTAGTAGTGATAATTTTAGAATTTATCCCACCCAATTGTATGGTTGGTTAGCCAAGTATGCTCCGATAAAGCTGAATTTTCCTTTTTGCAAAGAAACCGCTTTTTGGTGCTCTTTTAACCGTGTACCAAACTGGCGTTTGGTCTGTCCGATGTATTCGTTATCACAGTCATTGCAAGGAATAGAATAAATGGCGTCGGTTCGTTGTTCTTTCGTGACAGGATCCTTAGGTTTGGCGAAAATATGCCCCAAAGTCTGAAAAGGTTTTTGAGCAACTTTAACGTTGTGGCTATTCAAAATTCTCTTGATGGGTTCAGTAACACCCTGTATGTAAGGAATAACAGCAAAACCAGTCGCTGGTTCCCTTTCATCAAGAGCGTTACTATTTGTAACTGGTTTTTGGCAGTTACGGAGAAAAGTTTTTGTATAGCCATTTGCCTTTAGGACACTGGAAACATATTTCCTCTCCTCAGCCTTGGAATCGAGTGATGATGGTAGACAATCAGCCCTCCTAAGTAAAGTTTTGGCTACAGACTTTTTATGGCAAATAGGATGGTGAGAATCGAAAGCGAGGTATTTGTCGGTGTGGGTGGGTTTACGATAGACACTTGTCTCTAAATTACCCTGAACCCCTCTAGACACATTTAAATCAAGAAAAAAGGCCGCTAATTAGTGATCATATAAAAGGACCTCTTGTTGCAACGTTTAGATCACCCCTGATGAAGGCACTAGACAGGAGTGTCGAAACGTTGGGTCTATGAATTGTAACTTCTTCGGTTACATTCATTAAATCTGCAAACCAGTGTAGCTTCAAAGAAATGAAATGTTACTAGTTAATGTTCAGAATTAAGTTTTATCAGCCAGAGCAACAGTCAGGAAAGCAATAAAAAAGCACTAAACATCCAAAGCATTTATAGCGTTTTGTTTGTTTCTTTTTTCTGATTTTCAGTCAGAAACTGCGCAGAAATCTACAAGTCCGCAGGTAAACCAACTGACGGTATGTACACCATTAAACCTGATAATTTGCCTGCTTTTGATGTATTTTGTGACCAAGCAACAGCCGGTGGTGGTTGGACAGTGTTCCAGAAAAGACTTAACGGCTCGGTTGATTTCTACCGCTCCTGGAACGACTACAAACATGGCTTTGGTGACCTGAAAAGTGAATTTTGGTTGGGACTGGACAAGATTCAACGGCTGACCTCAGATAATAACAGCATGCTGCGTGTGGACTTAGAGGACTTTGAAGGGAACACTCGATATGCTGAGTATAACTTGTTTGGTGTTATGAGTGAGAAAGACAAGTACAAGCTGCTCCTTGGTTCTTATTCAGGTAGAACTGTCATTTCGTCCCTTCTATTCTAGTCATTCAAAGATGGGGGGGGGGGGTGGGGGGGAGGAGAGTGCTGAGTAATGTAAATATGGTTAACGTCTTTTACGTCAATAATCTCAGCTCATCGATATGCAATCCTGAATAATGCATTCCGGACGTTGATAAGAACTGTCATTTCGTCGCTTTGTCTCGGCAAACATATTTATAAGCATTATCACGTTTAGTGGTATCATTATCGTTAAATTATACTTATCTGATATTTCAAGATTTCTTTTGAATTACGTACTACTCATTGCTGCATGTTGGTCAAACGTAATACTCATAGTGCGGCTCATTTTGTCAGGAAATTCTAGTGACTCTCTTGCTAGGCAACGCGGTTGGCCGTTCACCACTAAAGATCAAGATAATGACAATGAGGGAGAATACAACTGCGCCATTAAGTTCAAAGGAGCCTGGTGGTACGAGCATTGTCACTACTCAAATCTCAATGGTTTATATCTTCGTGGCCAGCACTCCTCCTTTGCTGATGGAGTGAACTGGTTTCACTGGAAAGGATATCATTACTCTCTAAAGAGAACCGAGATGAAAATAAGACCAGTGGATTTTTGAACTGTCATAATTATGGCACAACAATGATACAGCACCAACTTTAACAAAAGACACCAGTGTCTCGATCAAGTCTATTTAGCATTTAATAATCACTCTTAAATTGGAGCTTAGCGAAATGCTGTTCAGGTTTTTCTTGCTTCTTTGTGCGTGTTTTTTAAAATAGGAATAGCTGATTCTGTAAAATTGGCCAGTTAATCGATGATAATAATAATCATAATAGTAATAATGACTTGATCTATATAACGGTACATGCAAAAAGCTCCTTATCATAGTTGGAAATTGACAGTGAATCATAAGTAGCTCAGAAAAAATGCGTCTTCAATCTTTCTTCAAAAAACAGAAACTGATAGACTCAGTTTAAGGTTTATGGGTGAGACATTCTATAGCCTGGAGGCAGCGGCTGCAAAGACCCTGTCTCCATAAAATATTAGGTGGGTCTGAGGTATTCTCAAGAGTTATGCTCGAATCTCAATGGCTTGTATCATCATGGCCATCACGCCTCCTATGCTCCTACAATCTCGGTTATACAAGTTTTGATTCTTTAAATTTTTTACTCGTCTTTCACTTAACGGAACACAAAGCGATCACACAGCCTTCATTTTTCAAAGTCAATATCAAGAATAAACCTAGTCGCTGATTCAGTTCTAGTTCCCTTTGATTTCTATAACGAAACTCCAAACAATTACCCAATGTTTTGACTCTGAAGAACGCTATCAGAAAAACAAATATTTCAAGTTCTAGTGTACACTGGAATGCAGTAACGTAATGTCGATGATTCTAAATTGCTTCATATATTGCTTTTATTTGTATTTCCTTAGCTTTTGTTAAAGTAAATACCTTGCACTGCTATTGATAAACATATTGCAATTTAAGTACACATTGTCACGCCCAAGGTCCATTTTGTAGATACGGCTCATCAGGTGATTATGTTACAAAGTGAGTTTGTAGAAATAACAAATGTAAGGATGAGTAGGTGAAACATGTTTTGTTTTATTCCCCCTAGCCTCGAAGCCATTTTAGAATTTTAATATATCGAGCCCATTGGATCGCTTGTGATCATTGGTTTGCAGGCTGAAGGAGAACTCCTTACAGCTTTGTTTACGTATAAATGATTAAAATCTATGATACATAAAAGTTTTCGCTTTTTGACAATTTCAATGCGATGGGGAACGTAATCAAGAAACGGAGACCTTTCTTTCAGCTCGTTCTGCGGCTATGGCGTCCAACTCGTGTAAAGTTTTGAATTTAGACGTGAGTTTGTCCACATCTTTAGGTGCACGTCCCAGGTACCGAGGAATCTGCAGATAGGTTTCCACCATCCACGCTCTGAAATTCATGTCTCTGGTGAAAGCAAGAAATTTGTTAGTGGCAGGCTCAAACGATTCACCCCCGTTTCACCCTTTACACCCTAACATCAGGATGCATATTCTCCATACTGCGCTCTATACATTTTCTTAGCTGATGACCGGGAGAATTTGTTTAATGATCAAGAGCTTCTGCAGTTGTTGGTCATTTCTTTTTTTCTCATGACCTTAATGTTTGATTCAGGGGTAACAATGTAAGGAGAAATTAAGTGGTAGTCATTCTTAAGTGTCAGCACTGATTCAATGAAAGCCGATTACCGGCGGTGTCTCTCAGGATGTAAGACCTCTTACCGCCGTCTGTTTAGCCTACGAGCTGGCTCTTGTGTTTGGGTTTGTATAAAATAGGATGCCAGTCGTAAAACGTATGGTCAGACGTGATGTAGGAGTATCATTCGATAATTGAAAGTATAATAACCGGAAGTAGAGTTGTAACAGAGAACCGGAAGTCAGAACACTTTAAGGACAGGTAAGGTTGAAATGTCGTTCGAACTGGCGGGCTCCCCACGCAATAAAACTCGTTCTGAGAAGCACAAAAATTCTACATGGAATATATGATGAGAACGACAAGAAATCTTATCTCAGGCGATGGCACTGAGAAGAACTTCTCACTTATTTGGAAAACAGAATTACCCTATTCTGACGTCGAGGACGTACGATTCAAAGATGGTCCCTACCTTTGACCATAGACTACTGTGCTTTATGTGGCCTCCCCTAGATCCCCCCCCCGTGTTATTTTATGTATATTTTTGGGTCATATCGGTCGTTCGTTTTGGTCGCTAGGTTCGTTTTGTTTCGATCGTTTTGCTTTGGTCATTTCGGTGGTTTCGCATGTTTCGTTTCGTTTTGCTGTATCATTTCTTCATCCTGGTTGCCTGAGAGAAAGCCACCAGCTAAAAAAGCAAAAGATTTTAGGCAAACACGATCTTAAACTAGAAATATTTATGTTTTCTATTGTCAATTCTACTGCGTTTGTGTTCCAACAATTATCATTCACATCTAATCATCTGCGGCTTTTTCATAGAATTTGACTTTCCGGCACTTTTCAAAAACCTTGTACTGGATTATCAAAAATATAAAAGACCAAAACCATGAACTGATGAATACCTACAATTGGAACGTATGATTAGGAAGAAAAACTAAAGCGCGTCCGTTCATCGCTTATTAAACATATTTTGTTTTGTAAACATGATTACAGCACTTAAAATAGTTTTATTAACGATGGCACGACATCACTTTTTTAGCGATTGATATTCTCTGGGGTATTTAAGACCCTCACTTTAATCTAATAGAAAAAGAAAGACCCCTTATACGGTATTTTCGTGGTTTAAATGTTTGGAACAATGACCGTATCCTTTGACGGCCGTTTGAAGATTTTTCCGACGGCCTTAACATTCTGCTTGTTTTTGAGATACAACTAATTAGTAAATAAACCCATTCGGGCGGCTGGTAAATCGGCTGATAATGTCCACGGCTGAGATATTGTCCAAAAAGTTAAAAAAATATTTGGCCGAGTAGCAAAGCTTCGAGGGAAAATATGACGTTTTTATGACAATCTTTCAGCCAAGGACATTATCAGCCGAAATACCAGCAAGCCAGAAGGAGGTTTATCTATTTTAAAACGTACCCTCCTCTTAATTCTCATATCACCCGAGACCGCTCATAAAAAAACAAGTGCTTATCTGATGCGGATGCGTGGTTGCGACCAGCTTTTTAATATTTTACTAGACTCTACAAAAAGAGTGTTTTTTGTAAAGTAGCCAGTATATGGGCGCGAAAATTAATGGTTGATTATAACGTCCTAGGCTTGTTTCAAATTTCCCTCGAGACTTTGTCTCACTGTGTTTGGGTTCCTACAATTATTGATCACATTTCATCATTTGTAGCTTTGTTTGCAGGACTCTTATTGAGGTATTTCATTGAGTATTATACTTCTACAATGTTATTTAGAGAAAACCAGTCACCCACAGTTAACACAAAAGCAGTGATCTGATGACTACAAATAAGTAGAACAGCTGAAAAGGAAGAAGGCCTGTGGCGTTTATGTTCACCACTCATAACATACCCAAACACAATATCAAGTACGACAAACATTTTGTCAGTCAGAAGGTAAGAAATATATTTGTAAGCTACTCTCCATTTTTTGCACGAGGGTCAACGTATTCACAGGAATTATGTCGAGCGACGATGAAAATGATGTTATTAATAAAGCTCTGTTGAGGGGCGTTCGAAATGGTAGCCTTAGAAACCCTTTATGGAGATCATTTGCATTGTCAACTCAGTTATCAGAACTAAGTTACCTTGTGGTCAATAACAACCTCTTTTAACAAGAGTACCCTAGTGCAAATAAGGTTTTCGCGCACGATGAGAATTACAGTATCGTACAACGCTTACTTGTAACAGTATATCACATTCTCTGTAACACTGTATATTTTATCATTAAGCAGGCCTATGGCTTCCTGGGTGAAAAAAAGAAACCTCAAAGGCGTCATGTACCCCTTGCATTTTATCGCCATTTTTTCCAAGTTTCTGGGCACTTTCTAGTAACATCAGTTTTTTCAGCGGAAAGATATTAAGTCGAAATGTTTAGTTTGTGGTTTTCGTTTATAATTTCGGCATGTACCAAGACCCGAAACAGCAAAACGAAACGAAACGACCTAAACGAAACAAGTGAAACGACTGAAACGAAACGACCCCAGATAATGTAGATTTCACTTCAGATAATCTCTCGCATATAATGCTTTTAAATATTATGGCCGTCTCACGAAACTTTATTTTTTCTCCACCACAAGAGCAGCTGAAACTTAAATTTGACACTCATATGCAGTTTTCAGGACGAAACGCCAGCCAAATTGAATACCAAAGCGTAAGGAGAGGAAGAAACAGATAACGGTTCCATTGACAACATCTACGTACGTGAGTTTTTTAGTGAGGAAAATGCGACACGGTGTGTAGTTCTAAAAATTCCGACATATTTTCATAAATTTTAACTTGAAAAACGTAGACCTGTCATAACCTGTCATAACCTGTCATAACACATATCACCAAGGAAAATAGATAATGTCACGCTGAAAGTGTCTTGACCAAATAATTTGCAGCTTTGTTTAAGAGTTAGACTTGCGATATATGTATTTCGGAACATACTACTGGATTTTCATAGAAATATTTCATTGACTGTCATACCCAGTGGTACTAAGATGAGACTCCGCAGTCATTTAGATTAAAACGCAAAAGCTTTGACCTGATTATTAACAGCAATTAGAACAGCTGAACAGGAAGAAGGACTGTGGCGTATAAAACAGCGGTTTTGTTTTGTAACCATAGTTACAGAGGTTCAAACAGTTTTATAAATTGAAGAAAAGCACGACACCATAAAGTTTTCATTATTGATACCCTCAAGAACAAAACTAAGTAAGGAAAAACACTTTTCGCTCAGAAGGTAAGAGATCTGTGAGCTACTTATCTACATTTCTTAGACCAAACCTTTCTTGCTCAGACCAATTGAGTTGATTGCAGAATTGATTAAGAAAAATTTTGAGTAAATTTCTGTCAATTCAGCCACACAATATTTCACATTCTGTCACACCCTTCTGGTCAAAGTTGTTACAAATTTGAAAGTTTTTAGGTTGAAGTTCTCAAATATCATCCGAAAGTCATAGAATGCTTGCGACCTGTCTAACTAAGATAAAATCGGGTGATGTTTAATGCTAACTACCCTGTTCAACTACCATGAACAAAACGAGACATAAAAAACTTAGGCCTCTGTACTTTACATACATTCTATCGCATTGTTCAATTTAAAGTTGCTTCAAAGTTAATCTTCATGTTAATAATGTGCAATGCTGTTCTATCGTAGTGAAGAACATTTTGAGATAAAAAAGGATAAATTTTTAACATTTTGTATTTCAGAAGTGATCTGAAATCTTTGTCGGTAGCAAGTCTACAAAAATTTGTTTCTTGCTCTTAACTTGATTGCCGCAAGTCATCAGAATAAATTGTTCAGATTTTGTATTTTCAGAAGTGATCCGACATCTTTGTCGGTAGCAAGTCTGCAAAAATTTGTTTCTTGCTCTTAACTTAACTGACGCAAGCTCAAAGTTAAACAGGCTGAAAATAGTCATATTGATAAACTCCTGTCACCTCCGATAAGGGTGATGTGCTCCATTTCGTTCTTCTTCGAAGCTTTATAAAATATTAGGTCTTATAAGAATAAGATGAAATTTACAAGATAGAGTAAGAATTTAAAAATACTCCAGTGCAGACAGCTGCCTAACATTTGTCAACATTCAAATTTACAGGAAAACAGGAAGGTTATATTTTGGGACGCTCACTATTATACTGATTACCTTGAATTTAATTATTTATTTATAGCGATGCAGTTCAAGTTTTCTCTTCAACCGATCATTAGTATTCTCTATATCTGCCTTGGAATTATTCTCCCACCATGCTTCTGTTGCACCGGTGAGTATAAATCCCTTTTTAAATTTTTGCGTTTCCTCTTTCTGGTGTCGCTTCCTCAAAACAATCACACGAACTACATACGCTACCTGCTGATCAAAGTAAATAACCTTAAAGCAGACAATTCGCTTTATCTAACTCAAAATGTCTTCTATTTAACAAATAAAGAAGCCT